TTGATTTTGAATGATTAACCAATTGATTTAATTCATTATTCTGTGCACAAAAATATTAAAGTAACTGTTAAAAATAGTTCATGAAACATTTATACCTTAATAAAGTGTAATATATCTCATAAATTATTAATATTTTGACAAATCTATCTTAATATTTTTGCATGCAGATTAGGAAGATCATTTCAAATTAAACAACTTTTTTCTAAATATATTTTATATTTAATGTGATTACCCTAATCCCAAAAATAATTAAGGGACTGATAGATTAAACTAGAACTCTGATGTGTATGCACATACACATACACACACAAACACGCGCGCGCGTGAACATATTACAGTTGTATTATGTAACCATTGATAAATTAATTGTCAAAATAAAAATAAAATTCATACAATAATAATTCATTATTATTATTAATTTATTAATATACATATATATGTGTGTGTATATATGTATAATATATATATATATACAATAATAAATAATGAATTATTATATAAATTCTATTTTATTGTAATTTATTTGAAATCGTACGATATGGTAATTAATAAATGATAAGTAAATGTTCGAGTAAAAGAGAAATGTCGTATTAACGTGTTCTCACTCATTAGCTGAAAATGGACAATCCACTCAAAAATACACATAGCGGAAAAACGAGTATTGAAAACGGACAATCTCCTCAAAAATACTCATTGCGTACTAGTGTATACTTACTATCGTTCCTTCATGATACACTGGGAGTACTTGCGAGTGCAAGAAACGAGCAAGAACGGACTAAAAACGGGCTAAAAGCGGGCTAAAAACGGTCCATATGAGGTCTAAAAACGGTGAAAAATTTTTATAAGGGTATATATATAATTTTGTTGAACTGTCAAAATAATTATGTAGAAAACTCAAACATGATGAGCAATACTCCAAAAAATTGTTGACACTCTAGCAATCAGTTTGATTAGCCTATAATTCTTTTGACAATCCAACAAAATTATTATTTTCAGATCTGTATTGAACTATTATAAATTTTTAAATACTTTAGCAAAACTGTTCTTTTCGTGTAGTTCTTAAACAAGCTAACTTTAATATATTTGTTGATAATGTTTTGATTTTTGATGGATCGGATAATCGCTTTTCTGAGGATCGTTTAAGATTTAAACGAGCATCTCTGCACTTTCCGCATGGTATTCAATTTTCATACCGGTACTATATCAAAGCCTACGTCTTAAAGCGGTCGAATTCCTGATGAACAAGAGGGATAAGAACAATGTCGGTTGGGGCGAGACCTTTTGGATTGGCTCATGGCGCTTCATTCAACGAAATCGACCGGGTCATAATTGAAATGCGAACAAAGCTCGCTCATGACAATACGCGACCTTTAATTAGTGCCGCGAAGAACACGCCGACGACGACGAGCTGAGGGTCGGTTCGTTGCCGAACTTATCCGTTTCCGTAAGTTCAGGAAAGCTTAGAGCAAACAAGCGTGATTTGACAAATTACACGCGATCGCGTCGAGGAGACGAAGCCGTTCATTTCGGTGGCTAAAGAATGGACGTACGCGTCGACATCGAGATTGATAAATTCGCGGCGAACGATGGCAAGGGTAGAAGTCGGATTGATAGTCGTGCGCAGAGAGGGGCA